CTTAGGTTATGAATGTTTTTTCCATTCTACTCATTCCTGCTTTTACTCTTGACTGCCTTATGCTTTCAGTGATCTTTTATTGTTCCCATCAAGGCTGGGTCTCTCAATCCTAGTTTTCTGAACATAATAAATATTTTCATGTCATCTTCACTACTGCTTTCATTATGTTATACTGTTTGTCAACATCACAGAACACAGACTTCTAATCTGTATGTGTGAAGCTCAATGCTTTTCATCTGTTTTTACAGGAGTCATCAATTTCCCACCATTCTCCCTGCCTCTCTGTATGAGTATGATCCTACCCCACTGCCAAAATTCTCTTCCTTCTCCTCTTCTTGCTGAAATATCCTATAAAAATTCTATCATGCCAAGCTACTTTAAGCTTTCCTACTCCGACTTTCAAATCAACCCACATGAAAGTAATTTCTCATATCCATTTTTTAGCACCCAACTTATGTCCCCCACAAAGCCCTTATGAGATAGCGTTATTTACTGCCCTCATAGTTGAGATCTGAGATTTATATGTTCTTTCCTCCCCTGCTTTCCTACATTAGATTGTATGTTTCCCAAGGTCAGAGTTAAATTTGTATAACTTGGAAACTCTATTTCATAAGACACAAAGTCATATATAATGTGGACATTTGAATTAAAATTGACCGGGAGGAGTGTAGACCATAAACAAGTCTGCCCTGAAAACCCAAGCACTGGTAGTTTTGTCCTCTGGACTCCAGAGTGGATGAGAAGTCAAGCAAAGGTAGGTGACTTTGTACCACACAAATTCCTCACATCTAATTCTTTTATGCCTAAGATAATGCAGACTTTGGCTTCACTCCCAATCAAAGAACAAAGTAGTTTCATTTAAACGTTCCTTGTAGTTCTTGGGAGTCAGCAGTTTTCGATGTGCATAAGTGGATGTGGGAGGGTAGATACAGAAGCTCTATCACAGACTTGATTTCACCCAGAGCCCAACTTACTTATGAAAATGAAAACTAACAAACCCTAAAATACAACACTGATAAAACCTTTTCTTATTGTAAAAATGCTTTAACATAATCTACTTTTAGAGGAATTTCCAGATAATATCAACTAAATAAGTCTTTAAGATACAACATGCCTTGCTGTAATAAACATATCTACGGTGTGTGCTGTCAACAATCACAATTTTCTACTTATGTACTTCAATAAGGCAACATATTGAATGCTGCTAAGGGACACAAAGCTAAATATAAAACTATATACTATTCGTAATCATCTATACTGCTCTCATTATTTTACCATTTCATTACCGGAGTTGCACCGTAAAAAAAAAAAATCAATCATTTCAAAATAAATTATGGAGAAAGCTATGCTTTTGTATAATAAAAATACAGGACATATTAAAAGAAATGAAAACAGTACTTTATTAAGAAAGAAGTACATCCCAGAAATAAAAATCTTAAAAGAAATATTTTATTTTAAATTATGTGCACATGTGGGGGTGGATGAGGGTGGAGACTGTCTACATGAGCACAGTGCCCACAGGGGCCAGAAGAGGGCATTCCTGGAGCTGGAGTGAGGTTGTGTTGAAGTGGCTGCTAGGAGGTGAAGTCATGTCCTTAACCACTGAAGCATTTCCCCATCCCCATCAATAACTTTTTAAAGATGGTGGTAATATGAGGCATCACACAAGCCACTCACTTTATGCTGCAAAGTTATGGCCTCCTATAAGCACTGCTGGATTTTCAGTTGCCCTCATACAGCATCCTGATGAATACAGTGGCAATGATATTTACTGAAGCAAATAGAAGAAAAACTCTATGAAAAGTAAGAGTAAGATAGGTTGATTGCATAAATGAGTAAACTTAAAAAGAACTGGAAATGGGATCTTTTAAATAGGCAAAGAGAATTGATATCTGTTAGCTTTCCTCTCATGTAATCAGGTAACTGACAAGGGCATTTGTTCAGTGAAGTGTGGCCAGGACAAGAAAGCTTTTATGAACAAAGGGAATAGGCAGCAAGATAAATGTTAGGCAGGTGCTTTTATTTAGATCAGATGCAGGATTAAGTTGCTCAAATAGTTCTCCATTTCAGAAAAGAATTATATCATTGGCATGGTTTGTAATTCCATCATTCTGGCCTCAGTGACACTGTATGTACATTAGAGTATCAACTGAAAAGCCAAACGATCAGAAAATTAATCAGGAAAAATGCACATCTGTTGATCTATTAATTATAGTATCATTTACTTTTTGTTAAATGTGAACTTTATAGCAAATCCTATAAAACTCTTGCTCTTGCCAGATATGGAAAGGATCATTTGGATAAAAGGCATTTCAAAAGCAATCTGTAGCATATTTGGGATGAAATATTTGGGGGTCTCTCGGGGAAAAGGGCTTTGCATTGGAAATTAAATATCGATTTTATGATCTGGCTAGTCATTTAAAAAAAACAGCAAGCCCATAAGTCAGGCCTGCAGTCTTGGGTACCCTGATGCTTTTTTCTGTTTTAGAGGCTCGTTAACTCAGACACTTGTTTTTCCCTAGCCCACTGTACTGTAATAAAGACCATCATTCAACCAATCACACAGCAAAAATAAAAGTGACACCGGGAGGACTGATTCTCAATGAATAAAAATGCATCTTAATCATTGTGTAGTTTACATATGTTTAGAACATATTATATTGAGCAACATTAATGGAGAAGGAAAACAAATATCTTCGTTGTTTTCCTTCAATGTCTCTGTGGGTTAAAGACCTTCCTATTTAACACTTCTTTCTAAAAAATTACACAAAGGTATCAAGCTTAAACATTTACGAAGGTTTTGTTCTGTTGCATTCCTAACCCCGGTACTGCTTCAGTTTCCTCTGAACACACACCATTGCCTGAGGGATCATATAGTTTTCTTATGTCTTCCCTTTCTTCTGTCCAGATATTAAGTTCCTGATGGGGAGGCCCTGTGTCCTAGCATAGTACCTGACACTTAGTAAACACATAAAATAAGTAAACGAGTTGACTGCTATGCTGCTTTGCCGGATAAATGATGTGCATTTCCTCTTGTGGTACAGCCTCCATACCCTGCCTCTTTAAAAGTCATTAAGCTTTCTTCCTTTGTAGACACTAGGCTAAATGACAAAGTAACTCAATAAAGTTGTGCTGCCAGGTGAAGCATTCACTTCTCCACCCTTCAGCACTGTTGAGGCCACAAAAGCAGCTGCCAGCCAGAATAAGAAACTCTCAACAGCCAGGCGTTGATGGAACACACCTTTAATCCCAGCACTTGGGAGGCAGAGGCAGGTGGATCTCTGTGAGTTCGAGGCCAGCCTGGTCTCCAGAGTGAGTGCCAGGATAGGCTCCAAAGCTACACAGAGAAGCCCTGTCTCGAAAAACCAACAGAAAGAAAGAAAGAAAGAAAGAAAGAAAGAAAGAAAGAAAGAAACTCTCATCAAGTATCTAGCAAAGAGAGTGACAAAAAGTGTACAATACACTTCAGCTGTCATTGTTCTTGCCACTAGGTTATTTTCTCTGGTTGTAAACAGCTTGTCAATTCCTCACTTATCTCATAACTATGGGAAGTGGTTCAGAACAGCCGTTGCAGAACATGGCATCTTGTGAAGTTGAGAAGAGCAGAGAAGCACCGTGGTCCTATGGCCTTTCCCTGTTCTCTCCTGTGAAGGAAGTGCTAAGGCAGGCATTTACATCTTTATCTCTGGTGATGGTACACAGTAGAATCTGAGCAGTTGGACCTTGATGGAGATTCCCCCCCCACTATGCATCAGTTCTGAACCTGCTGCAATCCCCTTCATCTATTATTTCTGCATCACACACCTTGTATTTGAACACCAATGGCCATAAACAAACAAAACAAAAACCACACAAACCTTTCCTCTCCTTCTTTGGGCATTCATTTCTGAAGATTCCTTTGTCATAAAACCTTATATAAATGTGTTTGTTTTTGTCATGCTAATCTATCTTTTGTTTTGAGGTCTCCACATACTTCATTGTGTTTATATTATATTACTATAAATGAAACTTGAAATTTATATGCATGGGTAAGCTCACCATGGTGAAATCTTATGGGGAAAACAAAGAAAGAAACATATGGGTTCCTCAGAGGTCTCTACTCTCTCAAGACTACACCTCCATAGGAGTCACCGTGCTGTATCTATTTCTTGATAATACTGTTTCCCTAATACACTTCAGAGTCCAGAATCTCTGCCTCCTTCTCAAAGCAGCCCCTTTATATGTATTCACCCAATAGATGCCACACTAGAAAGAAATGAGACCAATCCCATTATTGGTACTGCACCCACACATGTACTTTCATTACTGTTTGAAAATTGCATTTCTCAAATGCATGGTCTACATTTGGTGAGCAGGGGAGAAGGTTTTGCTGTTGGACAGTGGTGCAGAATGCATATGAAGAATAAATGTTCAGTGCAGGAATTCAGTGCTGTGAAAAATCCTGCTTGTCAGGCTGCTATAAAAGCAGCTCTTGGCTGCTTATAAATAGTAATTCTATTCCAACGGTAATGATCTAATTTATATCCATCTTAGTTTCTGGAAGTGCGACTACCCAGGGAAAACTTGTAATGAAAACATTATTGATAAACTTGTAAAGCCGAGTTATTAAAAAAATGAGGATTTTTAGAATATGAAGCAGATACACAGCTGAAGGTTTAAATGTAGTGGAAGATAAACAATAAGTATTTATCACTAGAGAAACAGAAAAGGCTTCCACGGAATTAATTTGAAGATTCACCCAAATAAAAGGTATTTAGCAATGATCAAACCTGAGTTCGGTTAATGAAAGGTAATGGTGATCTACAAAGGGGGAAAGAGAGATTTTTGGCAAGACAAAGAAGCTTGAACAGTGTGGGTGGTGTGCGATTAGAAGAGCTTCACAGTGGGCATTCAAACTGAGAACCCAGGGAGGTTCAAAACGAGGTGGCATGGAGGACAGTCACCACTGCATACCCTAGGGCCATGCCTCCAACAATGGTGCCCACTGGGAAAGAACTTACATTAGGTCTCAGTCTGGCTGCCAGGTCGTAATACTTCTCTGCTGCTTCATTGAGGCTAGCTTGTCTGTCAAAGAAAAAAAAAAACAATTATATTATGCATTTTAAAATTGAAGCACCGAGGAGCAGTGACACTAACTTAAAAAAAAAAATTACCACATTGACTAAATTGTATGCTCCCATAAAAAACCTTGAAATGACCTTACTATTATTGTAAAGGATTACAGATAGTATCCTAGGATAATCCCATTTGTGTAGGTATTGCTAATTTATATTTACATGTTTGTCATAGGAAGAGATAATTACCTATTCAAGATAATTCAAATAATGCATTTAGGTTCTCCAGTTACAAAATGATAACCCAGAAAAAATTTAAAAAATCAATTGTCAAAATATTTAGCTATGACTTTTAAAATATATTTATATGCAGGTATGTGTATTTGCATAAGTTTATGTGCACCATGGGCATGCAGGTTCTCACAGAAGTCAGAGGAGGGTGTTGGATCCCTTGGAACTGGAGTTAAGGCGGTTATATGATGTGGCACATTGGTATTGGGACCTTAACGGGTCCTTTGCAAAAGCAATAAACACTCAAAACCACCAACTCTTCAGCCCCCAGCTATGCATTTTAAAAATAAACATAGTCAACATTTTAAAAAATCATATATTCATTTTAAATTATATATTCATTTTACACGCACACACACACACACACACACACACACACACACACACACACTGCATGTGAATATATTTCTGTGTAGAAAGTCATTCTGTTTTTTTTCTCTCTCTCCATGCACACATGCATACACACCCATGCACACATGCAAGCATGAACACACATGCTCACACACCATTCAGATTTCAGAATATTTCTCTCCTTGCTGTCTGGTAATCAGTGTGGGCACATGACCTAATCTCAGGTAACTGGATGTTGGCACTTGAAATTTTAATGTAGAGGAAAAAAGATGAAAATAAAGAAAAAAATGGAAATAAAGAGAAAGCTGAAGGGATAGCCAAAATTGTCTCACAATGGTGTGAGGAATGAGGTTATGTCCAGGCCAGACTTTTCCTACAAACAATTACAATAATATAATAGTTTATCATAGTTCATGGCTACTGGGTTTAGACTGTATTTTGTTAATGAAAGTCTTCTAGTCCATAGAGACATCTTTGGGGAGTTGTACTGGGTATTAAGTCAGGGCCTTCCCTATAGTAGGCAGAAACCCTACCCAGCTCTGGTAGTGGATTCTTTAGTCTCCTTTATAACCAGAAATAGTTTTCTTGCTGGTAGTCAAGGCCAGGATTACCACAGTTGTTGTAAAGAAACAGAATCCATACTGAATCTAACAGATAAACTTGTTAGCAGGGGAACACCAAGTGTCAGCTAGCCATCAAAACATAATGTTCTTTTATTCTCTTTTGACCATGCTGTTTCAGAAGACCTGCCCACATGGCAGATGACAAGATATAAGAAGCTCTTCAAGTGAGCACTGTCAAGTCAATACATATGTGGATTATAGATTAAAAGCTATGGGAAGATGCCAGGTTTACTTTCTGATGACATATAAAGCTTTAACAGTGGAACGACAACAACACTAGCTGGCTACAGGGAATAGTGTTCTTTGGGGAAAGGCGCAGGAGCTAAAGGGTTATTACAATCATGAGAATATGAGTCCGGATTCCTAGAAGCCACATGAGTGCCAGGTAGACATGGCAGCCTGTTAGTCACCTCAGCCAGCAAAATGAGGAGATAAGGAAGAGCTCCAGAAAAAGCCAGCTAACTACACTACTCAAATTAGTGAGCTCTGGGTTCAAGTAAGATACCTTGCCTCAATATGGAGAAGTCAATTGAAGAAGGCATCCAACTTTAGCCTCTAGCCTTCTTACATATGTACACATACGTGCACTCAATACACACATGTGGCCACACACTTGCAACATGCATGTGTACATTTATATACATGAAGTGTGCAACACACACACACACACACACACACACACACACACACACACACACACATGCACGCACGCGCACACACACACGAAAAAGTGGGGAGGGATAGTGCTCTCTTAAAGCTGTAAGGTTAATAAACTTTTGAGGCAACAAGAAGACAGAGAAAGAGGAAGCAAACAGAATATATGAGTTAAGTCTTTCAATTGGAGATTCAGAGTCAGGTTTTAAAAAGAAAGCCAACTGGCCTCACTTATTAAATTGAATTTGCACTTTGGTCAAGACAAATAAAAAGCTAAAGACATACCCCATGCAGACATATAAATTATAGGAATAACTAAAGACAAGATCTCTCTGGAGAATCATGCATATCTTGCTAATGTTTGAAGGAGAAATAATCAGAAACACTACTATGTTTAATGGAAGCTATAAAGAAAGTAAAGAAAGAGAAATACCCCAAATACAAAACCAAACCTTGAGCCAAGGCTTTGCTAGACTTGCGGCATGTAACAATGTGGCACTGCAGTTTATGTACTCATAAATGTCAAAGTTCAACCTCAATATGTCAAGAGAAGTGCCCAACTCTGGTATGAAACAGTAAAACTTCCCTCACTAGGGTATTTAATGAAGGAGCCCTCTACCAAATTACAGATTCGCTTTGGTTCAGATTCATTTGGAAATCTGAACCAGAATTCTTCAGGTCATGCCCTGGAAGGGTTCTCTCCAGAGGAATATAAAAAGCATGGAGGTAGGAAATTAGAGGAACTTGATACTACAAGGAAGTACATTGCTCTGAAGTGAGATCAAACAATAGATAGCAAGCATTAAAAACATTGACACTACTTTACAACTTTACTTTACTTCAATTCATAAGGCAGATACTGATCAAAAGGGAAACTGAGGTCTCCATTGGACAAAATATTTCTAAAATACCAAGCATGTGAATTTTAAAAACGATTATGAGCTTTTAAGTCATTAGGTTTTTCAATGGTTAGCAGTGTGTAAATGTGTAATGTGTTCCTGTTGGCTAGCGTGTGAATACTTGGTTCCTCCAGTGGGGGAACCTTTGGGACGATGAGCCTTTCTGGAAGTGGTAAGTCTTGGGAAGGGCCTTGAACTTTCCTATCACTGAAGAAGGTCCTCTCAGTTCTCTGCTTCCACACAGTACATATGCCTAGCACCACAAACTCCTGCCACCCTATGCCTTCCCAGCCATGATGGATCATATCTCTTCAACTGCAAGCCAAAGTAAACTTTGCCTCCTCTGAGCTGCTTTTTGTCGGGCATTTTATCACAGCAATAAAAAAAGTAACAAATATAGTGGGTTAGTGCTCCAAGGAAATACTTAGAGGAGTTCATTTAAGCTAGAATTACAACTGACAACATTCTAAAGGAAATGGGAAAAAGGGATTTATTATATACATCATAGACATATAAAATTAATTTGCACTGTAGAACTTTCCTTCTATTATTAAAAGTCTCATTTTTAAATTACTAATCAGAAGGTATTTATGACAGCACATGGAAAACCAGGGGAAGGAATATGTCAGTTCTAGGTACAGAAGGGTTACTTATATTCCTGATTTATTCTCTGGACAAGAGAGAAAACTCATGAGGAAGTGTTCAAAGTTCGTTTTATCGTGTAGGTTATATTTAATACTCCCCTCTGAAAGAGAACTCCTTGGAATACTTATCAAGTCTTAATTGCAAAAAATGACTAAATCATTAATCAGCATTTAAAAGGTGAAGAAATGAGCATATTCTGTTCTGTGCTTTGCGGAGCCTACTAAATACTGTTGGGCACCTCCAAAGTAAGATTGTTAGGGTTGGTGTGCAAGACCTGAATCTCCAGACTGTTAATTATACACTCATCTAAAGTAGCTGAAAATACACACTTACACCATTATGGTCATTCTTCACTCATTTCTTTAGTGTGACAAAAGTATACATATTCTATCCAGTAACATAATTTTATCTAATAACTATAATGCCACAAAGTAATTTCTATTATTAACAATGATATAAACATAAGGGAAAATAAAAATAGTACCAGATTCTTTTCTTAATTTCTGATCTTTAAGGGGACCATAGTTAGATATAGAGAGGAACCATATCTCTCACATGTTTTCCCACAAGTACAAGACTCAAAAAGGAAAGTGAAAATAGATGGCTCTATCATGTCTCCCAGGCCAGATGCAGTCTTTCAGGCTGGTTACAGTGCACCCTACAAAGTCAATAATGAAGGGGTGATGAGAAAGAAAATCACTCATCCAGTAACTACACTCGGCCCAGATGGGCAACTCCCTCAGTCTTCAAATCAGCAGCATGTGAAGACATGTGACTAGAGAGTAAAAAATAATTAAACTAACAACAGACACAATGGAGGGGAAAGTCAGATGGAAGCTCCGGACTCATTAACAATCTCTATTAACAATCTCTATTCATCATATATACCGAGCATCCCCCGCCCTACTCACCACCTCTGCCCCTTAAGGCCAAAAATGTTAAATGACTAGAAGAAAATCCAGGTGTTATTTGTCAACTAGACTACTGAGTGACTGAATTCCCAATAAATTATCAGCAAAGGTGATTGTTTTTCAGTCTTTGTAATCATTTTTTCTGTCATCAGCAAGACTCTAGCTGCAGAGCAATAATAGTAAAAAGATCACAAAGTTCATAATTTGCATACTGCAGAATTCCATTTTATATGTAAGACTATAAAACTTACATCAGTAAAAATACACACATATTTTAGATCTTTAATTTCTTTCTCTGATGTTACTTTGTAATGGAAACATGTTTTTCAAACAGGCTTAAGACCATTAGTCATATATAATATATAAAAGAGATATGGGAATCACAATTAATAGTTGTGGATTAAAAATCACTTAATATGGTCAATGCCCACTATTTCACATTAAATATATTTCAAAAGGTGACCGGAGAATTTTTTTTAAACTAGAGACATGTTTGCTCATGTAACATAAATATAACTAGAAACAACAGATTGGTTTTGCTGATTCTTGACTATCATGAGCAGACACTTGCCTTTACAGCACCTGAAACAGAACTACACTTTAATTGCAGTCTATAAGTTGTACAGAAGGAACGGA